AAAAAAAAAAAAAAAAAAAAAAAAAAAAAAAAAAATCATTATGGGGGTATGCTTGGTGAAAATGAAGCCTTAAAAAAAAAACCTCCAAACCTGTATTCTTTAGGAATTCATAAGCCCTAGGAGCCAGGGACTGTGTGTTGACCATTTCTTATATCCCTAGCACCAAAAAGAATGTCTTATCACAGTGTCTGGCACATACCACAAATTCAGCCATGTTTATGGCAGCAGTGAAGAAATTGATATAACATATCCATCAATTCACAAAACACAACTCTTATGTTATGAGGGCCTTAAGCTTTTCCTTTATATATCTGGTTTACAGGTAGGAAAAATTAACATACCCATCTTCAGAAAGCCAAGTACCTTCAAATCACTATGCTTGATTTACTTTCTTAAAATTCTTTCAAGGCAAAATATTACCTCCCATTTTACTTACAAAAACACAGAGGTACAAAGAGATAAAGTGACTTGCCACAGAGTTAGCTACTGGCAGAGTCTAACTCTTCTGATTTAAAGATGGGCTGAAAATAACTTCAAGCTAAATATAAAAGATATAGCTCTGGTTAAGATTTATGATCTTAAGACATTTTTATAAAAACCTACTCCCTACAGGATACAAGTACATTAGAAAAATTGTACTTCATAGTTATACTAAATATGCAATTTCAAAAATTTATCAAAAAACAATTTATATTTTACTTACCTGCTAGGGCGTATTACTAACACTGTACACCAGATCAAGATTTAACTAACATAATAAACATAAATCGTATCTCCGTTTCCAAAGAAAATAATGTATAAGGTCAGCTTTTTAAATAAAAGAACTTCTCATAAACTAAAAAAAATCTTTTGCAAGGGTTTAACAATCACTTCTCTAATTACATATCTGATCCATGCCACCACTTCAGGCTTTTAAATGTGTCTAAATCACATTTTTGTTAAAATAGTTTTGAGCAACATATGCTTAAAATGTTCAACTACAAGACCAAGATATTTAGAGATTAGTGTTAAGCCAGAACAACATTCTTTTCCTCCTTAAATGATCCACATATCATCTTAAAGTAAAACATTTTAATGTTGGTGAACATCAGAACATTTTGTTACTGGACTATACACACTGTTTACAAATATTTATACACATAATAAAGTAGCAGTACATAAAATAGCACAACGGACACATTTTTTAAAAAAGTATTAATTTCTATGCTTTAAATGCAACTGAATGCTATAAGCCAGGAATATAACTACATGGAAAAATAAAACTACAATTACTGTACCTTGGGAACGCTTTCGTTTAAGACCTGCCGCATCTGTACTCTCCTTAAATCCTCTCCATTTGAACAGAGAAGGGAGGGAGAAGGGAGGGAGGTGGTAGACAACTAAGAAAGCAAAAACACTGAGCTTCAAAGCAAATTTTAAATGAGGTTTGCCATTTTGCCTTTTTGTTCTAGTATTAACTTTAAAAAATGCGTTGTATTTGAAAAACATTATTCTAAATGCTTTATTTATATAATCTCTAAGAATCAGTAAAGCAAAACATTAGTATAATGTTTATCAAATATTTGCTGTACTTTTACTGAAAGAAAAAAGGCAAATGATATCAAAATTCATTAAAAACAACTGTGATTATGTTTAATGTCTTTGCATAGAAAGAATTTATAAAAATTGAACATGACATTTTCAAATGCTAAGAGATTTATAAACTCCATCTTTACAATACTAAGGTTATTTACTCTTACCAAATTTGTGACTGACATAGCTAACAGCTGATGTACAAATTGAGAAGCCAATAAGTAACATTTTAAATATCTAATGCAGCTTTCCTGAGAAGACACCACAGTATACATTCTACTAGATAGATGCTTTCCACTACTGAAATATAATGGAAACTTCCCTTAGGAAAAAAAAATTCTTTTTGCAACTCTATACAAGTTGTTAAAAGACTTTAAAAAACAAAACTTTTACTAAAAAACAAAAATCAAACTGGAAGCTCTGCTATTTGCTTTTGAAAAGACTAATAAAATAATGAAAAAAGTCATTAGTAAAAATGTATGCTGTGACATCTTGTAAGCATTAACAGACAACACAGAGTAAAGCTAGGCATAGACTTAATATTTGGCAAATCAGTAGATAACCTTAAAGTCAACATTTTCCCTGTCAAATTTTGCTAGTTATATAAATTTCTTTGTATTTTAAGTAAGCAATTATTTAAAAGTTCACTTGAACTTGAGCCTTATAGTTTCTCACCAGTTAATTACAGAATCTTTATGATTAGTTCAAATTTATGTTATAATACATTTGATTTTCATCCTCACTCCCTTCTGTGTTAATGTGACAAAGGTTAAATACTGCTCAAATACAAAAATATTTAATTCCTGTTGTATAGTACTAGAAATGTAACAAATCTGTTGAATATACAGATGTAGTATATGCAAAGATTTGTGTAATAAAATTGAGATATGCTTACAAGACAGTTAATAACTATACCTATATGTAATTTGATGGCTACAAAAACTATAAACTAGAGCTAAAAGCTGGGTTGCTATGTCAGGATTATAAAAACATCATTGTTACAGAGGTAGAAAATGACAACTGATGCAATTTTCTTCACTGAAAATGTTTCTTCTTTCATGTGCCTTCTGGTCAGTTACTGAGGAGTAGATGTACCATTAGACCAGCAAACAGTTTTAAACAAAAAATTCAAAAGGAAAAATATGCTAACATATCAAAGTAAATCAAACTAACATAAACTTGAGACTTTACTGCTTGAAACAAAAACTAGACTTTGTAGATCTGGTAGTAAAACTAACGTGAACCAATTCCATATTATTAAAAAGAATGAAATACGAAACGTATGGACCATCTGACCACATTTTAAAATTATGTAAATGTTTTCAGAAAGCTAGCCTAGATATATAAATGATGGCTTTATTTTCTAAAATAGTATAACTTAAAGATTAAAAAAGGATAAACACCCTAATATGCAGAGAAACCAAGGAAAAAAGAAAAACATTTATTTAAAATATTTTCACAAAACTAAATAGACATGGTTTCTTTCTTTTCAAATGCAATTCTTATTTTCACTTGAGAGTCATCTGCTTTATTTATTACAAACCTTGTAGCATAGAGGGACTAAATTTTTCAACCCAAAGCACAGAAATAGGGGTACTATGGTAAGCACTGCAGAGGAAAAAAGAGTTTACTATCAATCTAAACAAAGATCACTGTTAAAGAAAATTCAAGTCTCAGAAAGCACTATTTAATTTTTTTTTTAAAAAATAAAGTTGTAGTTAAAATTTTTTACATAGTATCAGCAAAAGATGCATAAGCTCAAAACACAATTGCAATGCTAATTTATTAATGCTAACATTTAATAAAATTTTAATATGTTAAAGTCTTACACAGCAATGAAAAACATTTAAAATACTAAAAATATTTCCAATAAATTTCCTTACTATATCTTAAAGAACTTTCTGCATTATATAATTCTGAAAGCAGGAGAGTATTACAAAACAGGGTTACTGCTGCTGATGACATAATAATTTCTACAACAGAAAAACTAACTTTTCCCTTTAGATAAGCTGGCAACCTGAAAAATTCCAACCCCAAGGAAGCAATCTTGCACATCTCAAACGTGCCAACTATAATGGCAATCTTTCTTTAATCTCAAGAAATAAAGTTAGATAAATTTATAAAAATTAAATAACTAAAAGCTAGAAGGTGGGAATCCTGTTACTGACTAAAGAGAGAAGAAAAGGAAAGCTGGTTGGAAGGTGAGGACCCCTCCATCTTTTTAATTGAACTTTGAAATGCTATGTTCACATTATGGGATATATTTATACAGCTATAGTGATAGAAATATATACTTCATCCATCAAATTGTTAAATGTCATAAATCTTTACAGAGACACTAACACCAGTGCTGCTATGGTACCCAAAATTAGCTGGAACAGTAAAAATTCCAATCTTTTAATCTATCGGTGATTTTTATAGTCGGTTTTTATAAAATCTGTCACTCTTCCTTTTAATTGGAGTATTAATTTCTTACATATACAAATATATTTATTGTTATTGACATGGGTGAATAGGTCTGCCATTTTTCCATTTATTTTTCTCTTTGTCCCACTGCCTTTTTTAAAAAAAATCTCTGTTCCTCTTGATTTTGGGTTAACTGAATATTTTTTAGTATTTTAATTCCTCTACTGGACTTAAAAAAAAAACTTTTTATTTTGGAATAATTTTAGACTTAACAGAAAATAGCAAAAATGGTACAGGGACCTATCACATATCCTTCACCTAGCTTCCTCTAATGTTAGCATCTTGCATAATTATAGTACAGTTATCAAAACAAAGAAATTAATACTGGTACAATAATATCAACTAATATACAGACTTTATTCAGATTTCTCTAGTTTTTCCACTAGTATCTTTTTCTGTTCTAGGATCCAAGCCAGGGTACCACATAGCATTTGGTTATCATCTTAGTCTATTCTTAGTCTATTGACAAATTCCTCAGTATTTCTTTGTCTTTCATGATCTTGACACTTCTGAAGAATACTGGTCAGTCAGTTATTTTGTAGAATCATCTTCAATACAAATTTTCTCATTACAGAATTGAGTTTACTCATTTTTCGGCCAGAGTGATGTGCTACATTTACCTATTCAGTTCAACCTATTTTTTACTGATTACTATGCATGCTTGGATAGATAGCTGTAGAATAAGTAAAACACTAATCTAGCACTAGATTTAAGTATAAATGTTTACCAAATTACTTGTTGACGTCTTCATTTCTATTTTTATGTTTCGTCCCAAGTGAAACAATAGGCTTTCACTTATTAAACTGCTAAACATTTCCTAGCCCAGGAGGTAGGGTAAGAAAAAAATCAATTTCCATTTTAACTCTCACAGAGAACTAAATTTACATTAAATTATCTAAATCACAAAAAGTCATTATCTTTTTGTGGGTTATCTTTATTTGTATGCTAAAAAGAGTTACACAGTGTACTAAATCTTCATGTCTCTTTAATTCAATGCTCATTTTGAGATTAGTAAGGGAAGTTAATAAGGAGGAAAATATTAAATACAGTTGGCACTCCTGATCTGCAGATTCAACACCAACCACAGATCAAAAATATTTGGGGGGGGGGGAGGACAAAAAACAACAACAACAAAAATCAACCAAAAAAAAAAATACAGTATAAAAGCATTTACATGACATCACATGGTATTCAGTATCATAATTAATCTAGAGATGATGTGAAATATACATATAATCCTGGCACTTTGGGGGGCTGAGGCAGGAGGAACACTTGAGCCCAGGAATTCAAGACTGGCCTGTGCAACAGAGTGAGACCCTGTCTCTACAAAAAATAATAAAAAAAAAATTATCCTGGAGTGGTAGGGTGCACCTTCTTGGGAGGCTGAGGTGGGAGGGTCCTGGAGCCCAGGAGGGAGAAGCTGCAGTGAGCTGTGATGATGCCACTATACTTTAGCCTGGGTGACAGAGCAAGACCTTGTCTCCAAAAAAAAAAAAAAGAAAAATATGAGAGGATGTGCATAGGTCATATGCAAATACCACTCCATTTTATTAAAGGCACTTGGATGTCCTCAGATTTTGCTATCTCTCTCTCTGTGTGTGTGTGTGTGTGTGTGTGTGTGTGTGTCCTAAAACCAATCACCCACAAATACCAAGGGACGAGTGTACACCTAATCTCTTTGTGGCAAGAGCAACCCTAACCAAACAGACAAGGTCATAAGAAAAAGGAATTATTTATTTTAATGTCCCTGAAGGTGAGAACTATTAGTTTCTTTGATATTCCCTAGAACATTTAACAAAAATCCCTGAATACAATATTTTAAAATGTTTTAAATTATTAAATTAGGTTTTTCCAGAAAGGCTTATGTGAATAATTCCAGTGCACTGTGATTATCTACTCACTTTATTCCAAATATCTTTTCAGAATACGTAATATTGACTGTCTACTACTATGCCTTCTTGTACTTACTCTTTTGTAACTGTTTTCATCTGTTGGCTTTGTCTACTCTAATAGGCTTAAAACTCCTTGAGGGTAGAAATCTTGTCAATTTCTCTCACAAAAGTGCCTACCACATTACTACATCTACACATAGAATCTGACAATATGAAGAGTCAGGGCTTTATTCGTGAAAAAAATTAGGTGGAAAGGGCACTTTCCTCCCTCAAACTAATGAAGTATAAAATTTTAGAAGCTTAGAGGTAACAGTAAAAGATTACAATTTTTTTGTCTTTGTAGTTATAATTTTGAATTATTTTCCCAACAATGGTGGCTTTTAGATAGCAAATGTCCTTTTCTTAAGACTTGTTATTATTTTCAAATGTACTTCACAATTTCTCATAATCTTCAAAGTCAAATGTCACAAGATACCAAGATACGTTTAATGTTGAATAAAAATAAAGTGTCTAAAAATTATGACAAATATATGTTCGGTTGAACATATCATTGTTAATAACAGAACACACTGAATCTTATATGCCACAGTACATTATAAAAAAACAAGTTTTCTTCTAATGAACCTCAAAGAATCATTTTTGAAAGATCACAATGCAAAATGTTTTAATAATTTTTCATTATTACTAATTAAAATTTTACTACTCAATGTATATCCATAAAGATAACACAAATATTACCATAATATCCTAGAGATTGCTACTCTGGAATGACATACACACTCACACATACACATACCCAAAGACATTCTAAAAAATGTATTCACAAATAAACCATGTTCTTACATTTGTCTTATCTAAATTTGAACACTTTGAGGAAACCTGAAGTATCCTGCAACATTTAACATTTAGGCAGGAAGCAGAAGTAAAAAGGACATATTAAATTCTAATTTTGATTGTAATAAAAACAAGATTAGAAACAGGTAGAATCTAGAGATGAAATAGAGCTGATGATTAATTTCCACAGGATGACTTAGCAAATGGAAAAAAAAAGTTCTAACAAAGAATGATAAAGGGGAATCTTTGTATTTTTCATATTCATCCTCTTTCTCCTCCAAGCTCCTAGATTTTTTCCATGCATTAATAATAAGAAATTCAAGTCGTTTGTGATGGTTAAATTGCCATTCTGAGGAAGAAGACTTAGGGAGAATAGAAGGGAAAAAAAAGGGGAACTCAGACATCTCTAATGGCAATAAGATTATTTTATGGCAATAAGATTATTTTATGACAAAAGATCTGTCCTTCAAATACTATGAAGTAGACTTTTGAAATTATTCTGACCAATAGTGAAGAGAAGTTACAAAAGATTTCAGTCACTACCGTAAGATCACAGATATATAAAATTTGCTATTTTTGCTATAAGGAGAACAAAGTATTATATAGCAATCTGTAGAAACATACCTACAGCTCTTACGCTGAGCTGCTCCTTATTTATTGATAAGTAAGAACCTTTACTTTAAATTTTACAGTGAAATAAGGACATATTTGACAATAGATTAGGAAAATAATATATTTAGAATTTCTAGATTGTGGTATCTGGCACACAACAGACAACGATTATTATATAAATTTGTTAGCTTTAATTGCCTATTTATTCAGAAGTCACAAGTTTCCTCAGTTATGCAGGCTTTTAACCAACTAGATGCAAAAGATATTTTAATTTGATATAAGCTAAACAAGTTTTCTTGCTTGTGACAAATGTATACATATGTTCAGAGAGGTAAGAGAGAGCAAAGAGTGGAAGAGAGAAAAATCATGGAGTGTTACTAACAATAAGAAAAAAATCCCCTGACAATTTAAAGCTTATTGTTTTGACATTAATTATGTTATATAAACAATTACTTCCAACCACATAATTCATTTTTTTTCAAGCCTCATTCTATAAATTACCTGATCAATACTGAGTTTTTCTAATTTAGAGATGTTTCATGAGGGGAAAAGAAAAAAAAATCAATTTACATTTTAATTCACTAGATTCAGTAGAGCTTGCCAAGAAACCTCCCAAACAAAGGCAAGCATGGATGAAGAAATGCTTTTACAAGAAAAACTTAAGAGAAATCTACAAATTCTAATCTACCTGTACAGTTATACTCACCCGAAAAGTTGATCCCACTGCCTGCAGTAAATGGAACAATAGAAGTATTTTTAACTTTACCACATATTTTGACGTTTACTCAAGATTTAGACATATAATGAAAACACGGCAATCTTGGCTACTATATAGTATTTTTAACTATTACAAAAATATGCAAGTGCTGAATAAAGAAATGTAAGCAGTAGATTCTTTCAAATTAAAACTTCATATGGTTTTCAATAGGGGATGGCTAAGAGATACACAAAGATAAAGATTTTTTTTGAACTTCAGGAAAAGAACATTAAAATATTAATGAAACTTGTCTTTGATATAATGACAAGGAATTTTTTGGTAAGTTCAATTTCCTTTGATTACTAAAGAATTACTAAAAAAGATTAAACAGGGAGTACGTTGTCACAATTTGTACATTTATGGTAAACTGTGTTGGTATAATGACATTTACCATACATATTAAAATAAAAATTGAGATAGTTCAGATATTTGTAGCAGTTTTAAATTTTTAAATTCTGGAATAATCAATTGTTTAAAAAAATCAAATTTCGTAATTCTAAGCCTCCTGAATTATATCAAATTTACGAACGAAACTTTATCAACTTACTTGGTTTGTAGAATATATTAAATGTATCAATTGATCTTACCATCTTTTCCATCTATGGATTTTGACACTTCAATATCAAAAATTTCCTGCATCTGCTGGCCCCTAAAACACTTGAGATGTTCTTGCTCAATTAAATTACTTTCTTCTTCTTCTAGAGGCTGCCAAGTGCCATCAATAAACCATTGTCCACGCATTACTGGTATTTTATCAGCCTCTGAAAAGAGAAATCACAAAATTATACATTTTAAGACTCAACCTCCCCAAAAAGAGACATAGTATCTACAATCTTATATTTTGCTACTGCTGTCACAAAAACAGATTTTCATGACCCAATACAATCATCTGAAGTTTTTTTAATATTTATTTATTTTGAGATATGTTTCTTGCTCTGTTGCCCAGGATAGAGTGCAGTGGTGTGACCACAGCTCACCGCAGCCTTGACCTTCTGGGTTAATTTTTACATTATTCTGGTAGAGATGTGGTTTTGCCATGTTGTCCAGGCTGGTCTCAAACTCCTGGGCTCCAGAGTTGCGCCCACCTTGGCCTCCTAAAGTGCTGGGATTACAGGTATGAGATCCTGCACCTGGACCATTTAAAGTTTTAAAATCCAGATTTTGAGCCAGAGTGTATCATATTCTACAGCATATACTTTTACTTATATTAAATATTACACCTAAAAATCACTTTGGCATTAGATGGGCATCTATGTATATAACTGACACCCTGAGTAGCCAAAATTAGTAGGCTAAGGAAAACCAGTTTCATGCAAGACTCTGGTGATAGTTGCAATGTCTTAGAAAATATTAATATAAATTCCAGAAATACTGTTTAGAAATAGTGTGTGACAGTAGTGTGTTGCACTTTTTAGAGCTCCCTTGGAGACTAGAGGCTCCTAACTGGCATACAGGAAATGAAAGTATTATATTAGTAAATATTTCATCTACTTTGGGGGAAAAAAAAAATCAAAACAAATTTTCTTGGCTTTTTTTTTTTTTTTTTTTTTTGAGAATATCTGCCCTTTAATTTGCATTTAAAATCTGTTTCCTTAAATACTTCAGTTACAAGTTCTGAATAGTGAAGACAGAGTAGTAGATGCTGCAGGCACTCAGTATTGGCTCCTACCCCTTCCCCCCTCCCCCACCCCCAGGCCTCACTTCTTGGCTCAAGATATAAAAGGGCACTTTCTAATGGCCCCAGTGTCAAAGGTTAGCAGCCTCAGGCCTGGATGCAGTTAGAAACAAAGCCATGAATCCCATTAGCTTCCACAAGATACTTGCATTTAACCATACTCCAAGGAAATCCAATGACTGTGCCCAGATCTAAGGGTAGCACACCTTAGAAATGACCTCAACCATTTCACCACAATGTACTAACACCCTCAGGGTGGCTTCCTACCATAGTCCATTGTCCTCCAGATCTGTGTCCTGCAGAGGAAGAGACAAGGCCCCGCTATAACGCAGGAAGGAACAAGAACTGCCTCCTCAGCTCACGTGCTTACACCAACTTAACTGAAAAGCTGAAGTCAATTTGAGGCAGTCTAAAGGAGACCTCCCTTCCCTAGTCTCTACCAGGCTCTGGCCCTTCCTCGGCACCATGATTGGTCCCACTGCCATGATGTGGTAGAATCTGCTCTAAATAAGAACAAGGTACTGGAATGAGGCCCAGAAACCAGGAAAGGGTTTAGAAAGGGTTACTACAACCCCAGCTGTGAGAGACTCAGATCTTGGTGTGAGCCTGTGATGGAGAGCGTGAGGGCAGGTCTGGGATCTCCTTGCATGAGGATTACATGTGACCTCAGGGGACCTCTGCCCTCTTCTCCCACTCACCCACCGAGATCCCCTGGCCTGAGCTTCCTGGAAGAGGTAGAAGAGGCATCTTGAAGTCAATGACAACAGAGAATGAAGGTGCCATTTAAGAAACAAAGCAGCACCTCTGCCTGTGTTCAATCTCTCCACACAGGTGGAATCAAGTGAGAATGTGCACAGCCAGGACAGAGGCTGCTCTGAGCTTGAGAGGCACAGCATCCTCCTAGTCGTCTCTGTAGAACAGACTTTCTGAAGACAGAAACTTAATCATGTGGTCCCCAGGGGTTTCTCTGTAGTATACTGGCACTAGGGAGAAGGAAAATCATCTTTGCAGAGGGCTGATGGAAGAAAGGCAGGAATATTAATGAGCATCCATTAAGGCTCTCTCTCTCTCAAGCCTAAGGAATTAAGATAGTCAAGGGTGTGAGACAGGTGCAGAGAGGGAGAGAGCCTGGCAGGAACACCAAGAAAAGACCTGTGACTGCTAGTTACATAGTGCTCTCCTTCCTTGCTTGAGGCCAACAGCATGTGCCTGCCTGTCACCAGGCTAACTTGGGACCCATGAGGGGGCAGGGTTAAGACTGGTTTTCAGTTCCTGCATGATTTGTTGGGTGTGTGGCTTCCTCCTAAAGATCCAGGAGGAGGACTCTGGGATCCTCTATAGCCGCCTTGATTTTGCGGAGGAAAGTCACAGCCTCTCTGCCGTCAATCAGCCGGTGATCGTAGGTCAGTGCCACGTACATCATGGGCCGCACCTCCACCTTGCCTCCTATAGCCACAGGCCTGTCAAACATGGCATGCATGCCCAGGATGGCAGACTGAGGGGGGTTGATTATGGGCATTCCAAAGAGGGAGCCAAAAACTCCTCCATTGCTAATGGTGAAGGTGTCACCATCCATATCTTCAATGGCAAGTTCATTCTTTCAGGCCTTCTCTCCCAGTTCAGTGATGGGTCCGTTCAATATCTGCATAATTCATAGCTTCCACATTCCTAATGACTGGAACCACCAGACCCTGTGGGGTGGCCACTGCAACACTGATGTCAATATAATCCCTGTACACCACCTCTTTGGTTGTATCGTCAATCACTGCATTTACAACAGGCTGTTCCTGCAAGGCAAAGGCTGAGGCCTTCACAAACGCCAACATGAAGCCTAGTTTGAGGTTATGTTTCTTCAAAAAGGCCTCTTTGTGCCGAGCCCTCATCTCCTGGATGTTACTCATGTCAATCTCATTAAAAGTTGTCAGCATTGCACATGTATTCTGGGCCTCCTTCAGACGCTGAGCAATGCGCTGCCGCATCCTGTTCATTTTCTCCCGATGTTCTGAACGCAGACTACCTTTGCCAGCTCCTGGCTCAGCTAGTGGAGGGGCAGCAGTGGGTTTTACTGCAGACACAGGTTTGCTAGAAAGAGGTAGTGAGGGCGAGGGCACTGATGACATCTGAGTGGGTATGGGTACTGCAGGGGGAGGAGGAACTGCCGCTGCTGTAGGCTCTGCTTTTGGGGCTGCAGCAGCAGGAGCTTCAGCTGGTTTGGCCTTAGCAGGAGCAGCACCAGTTTTCCTGAGTATGAAAAGCGGAGTGCCTCCTTCGACTTTTCCCCCATCAGGTACCAAAAGAGCTTCAATCACGCCATTTGCTGGTGATGGAACCTGCACAGATGTCTTGTCAGTTTCAATCTCACAAACCACTTCATCTTCCGCAACTGTGTCTCCAACAGCTTTCTCCCACCTGACATCCCCCTCTGTAACAGATTCTGCAAATGCTGGGGTTTTGACTGTAACCAAATCACCCTTGCACACAGCCGTAGTTCTGAAGAAGCGAACACTGAAGACACTACTGTTGTTAATGACAACCTTCCTGCTGTTAGGGTAACCTGGTCCCTGGCATAAGGAGACCCCGGGCAGGGAACGTCTCCCTAGAGGGCAGTTCCCCTTCTGGAAGGTGGTGAGCGAGCGGCTAAATGCCCAGGACACACAGCGGGACCGGGACAGCATCGTGGTTGCGGAGCCGAGGGCGGGCAGACCTTGGCTAACTTTTCTTTGATTGAACACTGTCCCTAGAAACTTAAGACTTTTAATTGTTATTTAAAATACCTCACAACTGTTAGCTAGGCTATCCTGAAGTCTTTAAAGCTATTTTTTTAATAAAGCAAAAATAAAATAAAAACAACCAAGGCCTAAAAGTAAAAAGCAAAATGAAATAAATGAATCTAACTAAATAGAGTGCTGGGGGTTTAACCACATAAAGAGAAATTTCAAGTGACTTTAAAATTCTGTCATTTATACACACATATTTGGAAATAAAATACAGAAAAAAGAACTGCAAACATCTTAAACCTTTTGCAATAACCATAGTTAGTAATATTATTTTTATCATTAATTTGAAACTATAAGATGAATGTATTAATTTTATTAATATAATTAAAACTAGATTTTAAGCATAATACAAAAGAGATACAAATATAAAAATCAAAGAAAGAAAAACACTTGTAACCATAAATTTTAATTAGAAATGTCAGCATGGACTAATGATGTATTTCCTCTTTGAAAAATGTTCTAGAAAAGGCCTAGAATCGAAGACAAAACCAGTATAACTAAACACTCCTACTATAAAGACTGTGATCTCTAAATAACATTTCCCATTAAAAGAAATCAGGGGTCCTTGAAAAAATGGATAACGTCAGGTTTGGGACAGGAAATATCCTAGATGATCTTGAAACATCTTGTCATACTAGGTTTGTACTGTGATGTATTTAAAATTCTTTATTATGTGTTTCTATTGCAACTTGCATTCTCCTATATTCTGCTACAGTGATTCTGATATATTTAGGTGTTTGCTGTGTCATCTGGTACAAAGATACTAAAAAATATTATAACTTCACTGTGAACTATGGCTTTAACCATTATAAGTATACCCTGTCAGAGGAGGATTCAAGATGGCTGATTAGGAGCACCTCAGAATTGCAGCTCCAGTGAAAGCACGAAGGGTGAGTGGACGCTGCATTTCCAGACAGGTTTTAACTGCCCACAGACCAGGAGATCCCCAGGTAGAGGAGCCCCACAGGTCGCCGGTGCAGCTGTTTTGGCTGGTGCCCCGGCACGGCAGGTCTCTGTACAAAATACACTGGTCCGGGCGCTGTTTTAGCTGGCGACTGGAGCTCTTGGGAGACAGAGTCGCCCATTCAACTGATAAAAAAGGGGACTAAAACAGGGAGCCAGGCAAGGAGATTCCCGGACAAAAAAGCACCATGAACCTCAGGGCGGCCGTTTCAACCAGTGCAGAGGGTTGCCGCACGGGAAATCACACAGATCCTGGCACCTTTTCAACAGGTGACTGGAAAAACTGGGAGACAGAGTGGCCCCTTGAAC